AGCTCAAAATCCAGGGCATTTTCTAAGGGAAGCCAAAGTCGAGGGACAGCAAAACCAGACCCAACAAATTTCACACACCGCATCATGCCATCCATTTGGAGAGACTTTTGGAAGCAATATAAGCCGACTGGGGGTAGAACTGAGCCACTTCACAAGGAGTATTGAATGCAGGCCGTCCAATGTTGTGATTTTGGAATAAAACTCAGGAGGAAAGGGCTTCATGTTCGCCGATACGACCACCGAGAAATCTGGACCATTGTGTGACTTTGAGATGAGAGCCGCGGGTACGCGTAAACGGAGTGGTGGCATGTGTGAAAATTGTGCACTGATGAGTAATAATTTTGCATTTATTGCGCTGAACAAAGTAGCCGAATTGGTTTGCCTAGCCGAATAAACGTCTAGAAGCAATTGTAAATCAGTAAATTTGCCGGCAGCATTGGCATCATCGGCATACCAGAGATGCAAAAGGTGAGGGAACTCATGATGAAGCCGTTTAATGAGAGGAACTAAGGCTAAACCGTAGGTTTTGATTAGAAACCAACATGTTGATCCAGGCAGGTGCCTAGTGAAGAATTGTTAGTAAAGGAATGTTATTAACAATTATGAGCATGCTAAAAGTGGTAACTGTCCCATACTGGAGCACACAGGCCCAGCTGGGGAGTGCCAACTCTTAACAGCTGGTAACGGTTTTGGCTACCCAGCTTGTGGGATTGCAAGCTGGGTGACTAACTAGTGGGCATGCTTGCACATTAATAGTGGATGGGATCTGATACATGACTCAAAGACTTAAGGGTCATGGTCCCAGATCAACACACCCTCACACTATTACGTGCACTTTGCCTCTTGGATGGATGTTTTGGCATCTTTGTTGTTGTGTAGATACTTGTCGCGTTCAGCTTTGTGGTGAGAAGCTGGATGGTGCTTAGTAAAGTAGTCCGCTCTGTTGGTAATGCCTGGTCTCCAGTAGATGGTCAACTGGCCTTGTTCAATGCGGTCCTTGAGCCAATAAAATCGCATATCGATTGCCTTGGATCTCTTCTGTTTGACTGTTCCAGCCAGAATTCCTTCCGCGCATTTGTTGTCGGTTTGGATTTGTGTTGCTGGTTGTGGATGGCCCATTTCAATGAGAGTTTGTCGGAGAGGGCATGCTTCTTGTGCATTGTTGAATGCTGCGCCGACTTCTGCCTCTGCTGCTGAGCTGAGTACATTCTTCATAATCTTGGCGACGACATGGACTGCTCCATTATCTGGGGCTTCCGTGGTGCTTCCATTACTTAGGAAAAGGTAGCCTCCTACTCGGGATCTGGCTTTTGGGGCGGATAAGTAGGAAGCATCGGAGTGGAGGTGGAGGATCATATCACTGCTGGTGTACCGGAGGATGGCATCTGGATGGGTGGCTGCATAGTTGAGTAGCATTATTGTGGCCTGCAATGTTTTCTCAGTGCTATGTGTTTGTTCTGCTGCAATGTCTCCAAGTGCGACTAGCATTGTGCTGTCCACTGCGCGGGCATAATACAGTAAGACCCCCACTATTTCTTGTACGTGTCTGATTGCCTTGGAGGAGAGTGGTGTCGTGTCTATGAATCTCCGCCAGGGAGCTCAGTTGTAGGAACACAAGAGCTGGGAGGGAGATCTCTAGTGATGGAGATCTCCTCCACTGGCTGAAAGGCCAGCTCAAAGAGAGCTGGTTCAATGCTACCCAATCACTGCTTCAGAGTACTTGGGGAGCTGGTTACATTGCCCTAGCACATACCACACAGGAATCTATCTACTGCATGGCTGAGGGTGCTACTGGGTCTCAGGGGTTACTCTTTCATTACTATCTTTTCTTACTATAAGCTAAACATCATTACCACGATTTCACTCCAGTTGACAGAACTGGCTCTTTTGGAGAGGATATCCACAGTTGGAGATCCTAGGAGAGGACTGTTGGTCTGGAACATTCCAATGTATCTAGGCTGAAGGGTATGTATGCTCTGCAACACATAGGCATGCCTCAGCTATATACAAATTGTCACATGGCTGCAATGCTGTGTGTACTGATTGACTGTACACGATGAAAAGCATTGTTTCCATCCGACTAAACCAGCACAGCTGTGGCGCACCCATAGAGGCTCCTATTGCTAATTTCATCGCTCCCCACCATTCAAGTCATCAAATGGGGGCGTCAACAAGCTTCTCTATATCTGGGTCATTCCTCGACATTCCCACAAAACTGGGAGCATCTGGTTCCTCAGTTTGGACCTTGGCTGTGACCTAATACAAAGTCAGCAGCCCTTTTGAACATCAAGGTGTCCATTGCTGGGTACCACTTGGAACAAAGGAAGGGACATCACACTTGTGATCTCAAACCCTCCAAAGTAGACGGCTGGCTCCAAAGCAAATGCATTGGGTTGCCATCGTTGTCCAAGAGAGAAAAGGTGTTAGGATCTAGGACGGACGTGGTGTGCGCAGAGGTACTTCTTGGGATGGACAATACACATCCACCTTGGGTTGGTCACTCGCGAAGGTGTGTGTGGAACATGTCTTGAGGCTATCTGCAGATACTCCCCACTCTCAAGGAACCTATTGCACTTGGACGTCAGTAAGGATCCCACTTGGTCTCCCCATACTTGCACCATGGCTTGGAATTCATCTGTTTGTCTCCCCATAAAGCTCAGAGGGGCAGAGACAAACAGTCAGTAGTCATATTGGAATCAATACGTGGTTGACAAAACGTTACAACACATATGCACTACGCTAAAAGCTAGTGTAAAGATCTTTCGAGTGTTTTGAGTTTGAGAGAATGAAAGTTATGAGAGAGATTAAAAAGCTATGAAAACTAATCAACGAGAGAGATCATCATCAAGGGATCGTAGATCTGGCTTCCCGCGGGAGACTATAAAGTGTGATAGAGTAGGTTGTGGTAGTAATCCTACGTTTCTCCACGATCCTAAAACGGAACGCGTGGAAGGTTTGTCTAGCCTGGATCTAGTAGCGTGGAAGTACTCCACGCTGGCTAAATATCTAGAGCGATGTTTCATCATCATCCTAGTATGACTAGCGCGGTCATTGAGAACCCTGTCTCAAATGACTATTCACGAGAGACTCGGTCATGAGTCGAACTCAAACCCTATCTAGGATCAAGTCGCGAATAAGGCTAAGAGCCGTGTATTGCACTCGGCATGATGACTTGAACTTGTTGAATTCGGATAGTTCAATGCCTTCTCGGGAAAGTCGCTGCAAGAGAGTTCGAAAGATGATGTGGTTCCTTGGGTCTTTGAATAAGCCATTGGGTTCGGCTTGAATATGGTGCAAGAGTTGGTCCCATTTGGAGAGAAGGCATACTAGGAACATTTGCTTGGCTTGCATGCACAACGAGTCTTCTGAGATATGACCAAAGAAGACCAAGCAAATCTTATCTCCAAGGTCTTTTGAGATGACGTCATACGATGGGGTTGTCACGCGTTGATAGTCGCCTCCTACCTTGGACCAACCGGCCAAAGCTTTTGCCCCATCCAGGAGATAGGGAAATGGATTGCTGAAATATTCAGAGCGAGCTCCCTCTCCAATGTTCCAACCACCGAACAGTTGGGCCGCAATGTGGAGCTTGTTGCCATCCAGCAGAAATTGGGTTGTGTGTTTGCCAAAGTGTGAAGTGCCTTTTCGGACGGTGCTGCCTTCGACTGGAGGGTACCTCTTCCAGATGGAATCAAGCATGCTTTTGTAGTGTGCAGAGACAGCCGAATCTCCACTCAGACCTGCAATTGATGGCATCAGAGATTGATCACGGAGGAATAAAGCCAAACCGATGGCAATAACGAGGTCTCCGAAGACCTCACGTTTGTTGGGAATCAAGGGATGGTTGTTGTCGACCCCCATCTTATCCCTTACCAGGAAACATTGCAAGACCTTGTTCCTGGGTCCTTCGTACAATTCCCTGACTGAGAGATTCTGTACCATCAAACGGGATGTTTCGGTAGCTCTGCTGCATAGACGAAGTAAAGCTGTCTGAAAGACGTAGAAGTCCAGGTACTTGGCTTGGTTAAACCAGAGGCATCGTTGAAGAATAAAGGCGATGTCCTCGTAGGTGTAGACTTTGTTCTTGGGAGGTGAGGGTGACGCTTTCTTCTTCTCTTTCACCATTGTCTTCAATGCTCTTTGTGCGGGCTCGTAAGTTTTTTCAATGACTTTCAGATAGGGGGATAAGAGGAACTTTTGAGTCAATTGATTTTTGATGGAGCCCATGTAGCGTGACAGGGTGTTTAATGCATACGTGTCACCAGTGGATTTCTTGGTGTTACACCAGAAGGTGGGTTAACCGTTCCAAAACGAATACCACCACTTGGTTATGTCGTCGTCGTTTGTTGAGAACGAACCGCCTGTCTCAGTGAGATTTGCATAGGGGATCTGGTGTAAACCGAGGCTGGTTTGAAGCTCGTTCAGGTATGGTTGGATCTTAGAGGCGGTGCTATTATGCTTGGATTGACATGATTTGGAAGCCGAAGCATAGTAGTCAACGTTGACTTCCTCGAGAAAAGACGATCCCTGCGACGACATTGTCTCGACTCCAGGGAGGTGCGACTCCAGGGAGGTGCTTTGGTGGTCCTTTGCGTTTTTGTGTGTGTTTATGTGTGCGTTTTCAAAGCTCGCCGGTGTGGGTTTGGAGAATTCTCAGAATTCTCAGGTCCTATTATAGGAATTAACTGGTGGTCGTGAGGGTCTTCTTGCTGGGGAGTGAGGTGTCAGAATTTTTTAACTGTCGGCGGTGAGAACATTTAGACTGTGGTTTAAAGTTCATAACTGTTGAAAGATTTTTGAATTTTGGCGCAAACTGCTTCCATGTACATTATCGTGTTCTTGAACAACATTTTCCTGGCTCATTTTCCCTCGGCAAAGAAAGTCCTGACGCCTCCCTTGAAGATAAGATATCATACAAGACTGGGAGTGCTGCTATTACATGTATCTGTGCATATGACATGCGACTTTTAGCAGCACAAATATCCATGCCATCCTACTAAATTTATTTATGATTACACCTAAGCTCCACATCAACCACCAGTCTAGTTTAGTTAGTATCTTCCACATTTTACTATTGTGTTCCACTCTTATTTTTCTCCATACAAGGCCATGCTTTTGACATGCAAACCAAAATCAGTCTAAAACCTGCTGCAAACACAAGACTCGACACCTGATTTGACGCCATTTATTGGAGTAGAAAATGTCACTGTACCAACTATGGTTTCGCACTGGCTGAGTATCTCAGCCCAGGCAAAATCTAAATGTCTCCAATCTCTTAATTTTTTAGGCAAATCTGAGTGCTCCACATCTTCTTTTGGACTCTCTGGTGGATTGCCAAGGGAGGCATAGTGGGCTCTCTGGGTGGTTGTCAAGAGAGGACTAATGTACATACATGTAGTATGGTCTACCGGTTCTCTACCGGGTAGCTAGCGGGTAGTACATCGAACATCATGCATGATGGTGTTGGGGCTCGTTACCAAGAGGAGCAAGCCATTTATGTCTCCGTGGATCCCGCAAAGCCAAACCCTTTGCCCCCCATAATGGTCCTCAATTTCTTGCCCCTGATCCCACAGAGCCTAGTCCTGAATTTCGACTGTTCTTTGCTTAAGCCTGGCCCCGGCTGGCTTCCGTAGATAATTTCCCTACTCTAAAACCCCCCAAGAGGAGCCAGGGGTGCAGGCGAGTGCGTGACAGCGCCGAAACCACTCCCCATTGCGTCTTTTGGGTACCGGTTGGTGTAGTTGCGACTTCGATCACGGTACTCATGGCATTATTGATATTGTGTCCCATTTCCGTACTGAAATCCTGGTAAAAAATCTCCGTAGAATGACGTGTGCGGATCATCTTTCTAGCGGGGTATCGGATGATTGCGCTGTGTCACAAAAAGAAAGACTCCGTTACTCTTGCTAAGAAAGCTGAGGTGTTTTTCGCCCTTCACTTTGGGTGTTGCAGTTGGTGCCCATCAAGCCTTGAAGAGCTCCTTGTCTTTCTTGTTGACAGATCCCAAAAGGTTGCAGTGATACCGCTATCGATAAGAGGGTGTGAGTGGCGACAACACCAAAGGTAAGCACCAAGGATTCATCCTTTATCTCCCTTCGTCTCGTGATCTTGCCGCGAGGAGAGGAAGAGGAAGGAGCCAAGTGAAGTCGTCTTCTATCGAATACAGCCCCCACGCTTGAATCGAATCGATCTTTACGTGGATCTAGTACCCAATTGTACGTAGGATACGGTACATCAGTCCCACGTTGATGGTGGACTCGACAATCATTGTTTCCGGACTCTGGGCGATTGCTACAACCACTTGTTCCATTCATAGAGAGACCATTGCAATGATTTAGACCCGAAGAACTGGGAGCTGTTGAGTCGAGGGATCTCCTGATCAATATCTCAGCCAATCTTGCGTCCCGCCCAGCGAATGGAAACGAGGTCCCGCACACCTCAGTCAACCGAGACAACAATCCCAAACAGCCTTAGCTTTCTATCAAAGAAAGCACGACGATGGCGCCAAGCTATCCAATTGTTGCCGCTCCACTCGTCTCCAAAAGAGGCTGCGGATCCCATCGCATCCCAACACCCACAAACACAACCAGAATTCAGCCTCCTGCAAGAATGCTGGCTGCAATGCTATTGGCTCATCCTAGTCACTGATGTGTTCAGCTTGCCTCTAATTGCCCCTTGCCTTTGTGGGCTGATGTCATCGAACCTTATTATGGGTCATATCATTTCACTTAACGACGCCTGTCGAACCCATTCTCATTCCAGTCTAACTTCAATCCCATCACGGCTTGGCTCCTTCTCCTCAGCTGCTTGTTGCTTCGTTGTCTTCTTTCCCGCTGTTGTTGTCAACTTCTATCTTCTGACCCATTCTTCGTCTTCCTCTTTTGTGTTTCTCAATCAAACAGCAGCACACAGCACGATGTCAACTTCTCAGAACGTAAACCCTCCCATGTTTGCATCGGCGAACAACAAGTCAGCCAATGGTGCTTCCCCCGGAGATCCTCCTGCTTGGTTGATGGAAGGAAGTGATCCCCTCGATGTGGATCTTCTTGCTGAGTACCTTCTCGACGATGGAAAGCCAGCTCCAAATGGAATGACATTCGACTTCAAGTAAGATGTCCATCGTTTGAGTAGCGTTCTTTCGAGTGTTTGTAAATGTGCGTCACTGCGATCTCACAATAATTCTTGTTTTTAATCATTCTGTTGTTTCCAGCATTGACGCTGCTGGAGCCAACGGCAACGTCGTGTCGCCAGAGCAAAGCGAAGATGGGGCATTCCCGCCTGTGGCAGAAGCTAGCAACGCGCAGCTTGCAGCACCGCCGCCTCCGCAGCATCCTCATTTGGCCCCTGCGCCTCCTCCGCAGCCAATCGCCCAGGCACCCGTTCATCAGCCCATTGCGCAAGCTCCTGCCCCGCCAATGCAACACCACTATCACCAACACCCGGGTCACCCTCACGCTCCCGTGCCTCCCCAGCATCACCATATTCCCATTGCTCCCCCGCCCATGGCAGTGATCCCTGTGGCACCAGCACCTGTGCACGTGGCTCCCGCCCCTGTGGTCTATGCTCCAGCCCCTGTGGCATATGCCCCAGCACAACCCGTCCAGGCATTGGCGCCGGCTCCTCCTGGTGGAGCGCAAATGATGGTTCATCATCAACACGGAAACTACCCAAAGCGGCAACGTATCAATCCCGTACCAGGAGTAGCACCGGTGCCCAGCGCTCCAGCACCCACGAGCTCCATTGTTCCGGGTGGACAGCAGCTGGTGGATGCAGCTCAGGCCGCCATGCAAACAGGAGGGCGAGGGAGGAGAAAGTCTCAAGCCCAAATCGATCGCAGACGTGAACGGAATCGAATCTTGGCGCGTAGAACTCGTCTTCGCAAAAAGTTCTTCTTTGAATCCTTGCAAAAGGAAGTGATGGATCTTCAGCGTCAGAATGCCGCACTCAAAGACTTGGTCAAGAGCAAATTCTCCATGGAAGAGTCTCGGAAAGTACTGGATACTTGCAAGGCTGTCGAGAAGCTCCCGGAAGCAGTTGTGGAAGCCTGTGGCGAACACGCGGCGGAAATGGAACAGCAGGATTTCAATCTTGTCCGCAGTGTGCAACAATCACAGCACAGCTTTATCATCACGGACCCCTGTCTTCAAGATAACCCCATTGTGTTCGCATCGGATGGGTTCCTGAAGGTGACTGGTTACGCTCGTGAAGATGTTCTGGGACGAAACTGCCGCTTTTTGCAAGGTGCCGAAACCAGCAAGGCCAAGTTGGACACTATCCGTCGTGGAATCTCGGCAGCCGAAGACGTGACTGTAACCTTGGTGAACTACATGGCGGATGGCACTCCCTTCTGGAACAAGCTGTTCATTGCTGCATTGCGCGACTCTTCCAACAACATTGTTAATTTTATTGGTGTCGTTGTAAAGGTGGCAAGCCCACCCCAGGGTGATCCGGAGTTCGGAAAGGTCTTGTCTGCTGACGGGCAAACCGAGTCGAACGGCACTGAAGCCAATGCAATTGCTGCGGACGGAGCCGTTCGTGCCATCGAAGGTGGGATCAGTGCGGCTGTCGCCGCTGCTCAGATGCCTTGAGCCTTAGACGAGTCCAGTGACACACGGAAGAGAAAAGAATTGGGTTGTACGACTAGACGCCACTCATCCATCCAGCACGCCCCCACCCGAAACTTGGACGCCTCGAAGGACACTTCACGACGACAACGCCTGTTTCAATTAAACATTGTACCTTGCAAGACGAATTCATCCAAAACTGAGAATTATCCTCGGATGAAGCCTTCACAAATAAACGACACTCCGCACATGAACAAACGCGCTGGAGAACCAACAACGTACAACACCACATCAAGGGAGCATCTCTTGTCTACATATTCTGGGATCGTTGTAGACGTGCTCTCCTACTAGTTGCATATATATTATGACATCCTCCTTACGACTACTATTTGGCCTCGTGTGCTACTACTACTACTAGTACGACTGGCTAGAAGTACGAAAGGAACTAGGTAGATATGTTGTTTAGGACACAATCCAGTGTACTAGTATGCACCGAGAACTATTCATCAGCTACTTCCGGTTCAGCAACCTGAGGCTAGCTAGAACGTGCAACCGAAATTTTTGTCTCCTATCCTATGCAGTCATCGTTGCTACTTACTTGGACTTTGAAAGCATGGCTCCAGTAACATAGGCAGCAGCCGCAACGGAAACCATGGTTAGGATCATTCCAAGTTTCTCATCCTTGTCCTTTTTGTGGCTCTGCTCATGGCTTGCGCCGCAGATACGCTCGAAGTCCTGCGGCGGGTATGGAATGAAGCAGGTGAGTCGATGGAAATGAGCAGGCTTCCCATGAATGGTTTGACTTGCTACGTTGGCTTACCATCATGGCACACTTGTAGGCTCCCCGAACACCTAGGTCTTCAGTCAGGACAGCAAAAGTTGGCACAGTATCCAGCAGCGTCTTCACACGACCTTTGTCCACGTAAGCTTGCATAAACTTAGTGTCTGCCCCCTCAATGTGCTTGATATTTTTGGGAGTCAGTCCTATAAGAAAGAGACGATGGGTGTCATGGACAGTGACTAGCTAGTTGTGCAACCCTCGAGATTTCATTCCGTACCTCCAGTAACAAATAGTCCACCCGTGGGCATGAACTTGATTGCGGCATTGCCAACCTCACAACCATAAGCACTACAGAAAAAAGTCAGGCATCTGCGATTCATTCATATGTTGGCCAGGATCCAAAGTTTTGTCAACAACGAACGAACTTACCTCATCATGAGGTCCATGGCTTCCAGGCACAGGCTTCCTGGGCCTGCATTGGTTGCCACCACTCGTCCCTTGTCATCTCCAGCGGCATCAAACTCTGCCTGGACCTTTTTATCCACACGATCGGGATATTCCTGTGCTAAAAATTCATAAACATTGGCCAAACCAATCCCCGACACTACTCGTTCCACCGAAATGCGGGTCTTGGAGGCGAACTTTTCCCGGAGGTATTTGAGCATTTTGATTTCAAGGTCGGACCTTGGAGTGTATTCCACATGACCACCTTCACTCGGGAAGCAAGAGTAGATTCCGGAACCCACTGCGGGTGTTAGGTAGCACTCTCCCAATCCAGTTCCGGCACCCACACAAACTTTGGGTCCAGAATCCGGCCAGGATTTTGGTCCGTACAAGTGTTTGACCTCCTGGGATTGCAAAGTCAGGCACCCATATCCTTGCGCCACAAAATCGTTAATGACAGAACAGTGATGGATGTGAACCAAATATGGCTTGGAGGAATTGCCGATAACGCCTCCGTCGACCGAGAGGTAGCCCAGATTGCTCATACGGACTTTATTGTTTTGCACGGGCCCCGCACATGCCAAGCAGGCCACAATCCGAAAATCGGAAGATATATTGTTGGCGTCATCAGGGCTAATGCTGAGCTCCTCAAAACACAATTTGAGAAATGGTGCAACAATCTTGTCTTGAAACACTGTGCTTCCTTCTCGGTTGTCAGTAGGAAGATGGTCCTGGTTGCGATAGATCTTGACCTTGAGGGGTTCTGGGGAGGACGTCGAGTACAGACCCATGCGGGAGTTGGTCCCTCCAATGTCTCCGGTGAGAAGATACGTCTTCATTGTCGGAGTTTCTTGTTTGTTATTAGTCTACAACTTGATTGATTCTTCGTCTCTTTTTGTGCCCAACGACAACAGCATCAACAACAATCGCGCTTCTGGATGGAGTTTAAGCAATGTCGAACCTGCCTGAGAAAGATCCAAAAAGATATGTTTGAAGGTTCTCACGTAATAGCAGACTAGCTACCTGGTACATGGTAGCTGACTAGACTAGCTATTTCAGGTACGGTAGCTGTTTAAAAGCATCCCACAATATTATTGCTATGCTTCAAATTCAAATTCTGGGCAAGATCCCACACCAACTACTAGCTAGCTAGTACCCGTCACCTCTCCTGGTGCAATAACCAATAACAACACTCTATAAAGTAAGAGTCTACTACCTGTTAATAGTAGCTCTCATCACGTACGTGTAGTTATGGCTTGCCCCTGTCATTAGTTTCATACAGTAGAGTAGTAGAGATGGCATTCACGCAATGCTCACCAGAGTCCACCAAAGGATTTGGACTTGTGGCATTGCTCTTGACTCTCTTGGCTACTATGGCACTGGACTTGCACCAATTGGCTCGGACAGGGCGCTACAGCAACCAAAGACAAACATTCGTCATCGCCTCAATTGTCCATACAACAGGAATACTAATCATTTTATTCCGAGTGGGTAGCGCCCATGACGATAAAGGTGCTCCGAACAGGCACCACAAACCACCGATTACGACTCTGACGGTATCTACCCATCCGGTTATCAGCGACGTTACCAGTGCCGAAAGTGAAGATATTCACCATCCCGAGGAAGATGAAGAGCACGACAACAAGAGAAAGAAGAAGCTCTATTCCGGATTCCATAATAATAACAAAGAGCTGGAGGATGCATCCAAGTATGTATCCATGGGGTCTTCCTCTGGACTGGGAAACTCAGAGAGCTACGATGATGACAATTACCAAAGCAAAAGCTTTCCTTGCTTCTGTGGGTTGTATCTTTCTCTAAGTTTCTATATTGTCATTGCATTCTTGCTCTCCACGGTGCTGCTAATGGGGTCACTCGATCAACAAATGATGGACAGCTCCAGCTACCGAGATAACCGCGAAAGCACAAAACTAGCAAGGGCACTCTTTGTGTCAACCTACGGATTCTTCCTTGCTTGCACCATCATGTACTATTACAACAAATGCACAACAATCTTCTCCGAGTCAATCCCCGCTCTGTTTCGCAACACCAACATGCACATGGGGATCTCCCTGTTGGTAGCCATTGCAGCTGTGGCATTGTCCAGAAAGGCCATTGAGATTCAGCAACAAGCCACAACACAACTAGGTACCCTCTACGGCACTGATGATGCATCATCCAGCACGAGCAGTTCTGGAAAAAACAACTCGCACAAGAAACTATTCATTGGAGAGGCATGGGTGAACAGCGCAACTCTCGTCGATAATGGCGAAGACGTCACATGTGAAGCAACCTCTGACGTTCTGCCGGTGCAGCTTTCGGTCGTGTACGGAGGGGAATGGGCATGCCCACGGAATCCATACAGCTATTGTGAAGTTACCATTCAGTCGGAAGTGGAATGCGAGGATCCCGAAGGCGGTCTATCTCAAGAAATGTCGCCAGAAGATTACATTTACTTTCGATATCATGACTATGGAGTTGACGATGATGATGCTTATGACACGCAACAGCAGCCATCGTTCATCTATTGGAACAGACCAACGGAACCGATAATAGGTACTTGTGATGGCACATGCCAGGCACAATCAGAGACCTGGGTGGAGGATCAATTCCGAACCTATGCACAGAGTACGCACGCCTTGTACCTTTGTGCTGGTGTCGGCTTGTGCTTCCTTCTTTTGCCTCTTTGGAACCGAATAAGGCCAATGGGTCGACGGTAACTCTTTCCCAAGAAGGGCTGCTGAAGCAAATTTTGAAGGCTTTAACGGAATAGATTTGTGAAGATTCGATTCTTCTGCTTGTGAGGTACAAGCGAGAGGTATCGTAGTTGTAGCTGCATGTTTCGTAGGGACGAAACAAACATGATTGTGAGCAAAATGAGACTTCCGGTTTGGCAGTCTCCAATGCTGTAAAAGAATAAAAGGTTGATATTTGTATGACGCAATCCTTCTTCATCTATCTTAGTTAGTCTAGTTGTAAGGAGGGTCTAATTCGTGTCTCTGCTACCAGAAGAGGCGGTGGTGGCCCATCTGTGTTGACTAGTCTCGCTGGAACCCCTCCGTGCCATGCTTTTAGCATTGATAGACAGCAGCCACAGAGACGATGCCGTTGTAGACGTAAGTATTGTTCAGAGGCACATACTGGCCAGTGATGATCTTGACGGCTTCTTGAGACGCCACCCCTCCAATCAAGCTGGAGATGGAGTGAATCTCTGCTTGTCCGTAGCGCGCCAACTCTTGCGCAAACTTGGGCGGATCAGCGGCCAGAAGAGTGCTTTTGACCAAATCATTTTCTTGTAGACCCAGCGAGGTGACGACCTTCACAACGCATTCTTGAAGAAGAGAAACGTCCTCTTCCCACGCATCCAACACTCCCGGGTATCGCGAGTGTTCTTGATGGAAGACCTGACAAGCGCGAAAGCCTAGATACCACAGGAAAGGCGTCATTGCGGGAACCTCATAGGGATCCATGGTGGCCATCATCCAGTCTTCTTGTAGTTCCTCAGTTACTTTGGCGGCCATTTCATCTACAAGAGTGCGCGTTTGATACAATTCCAGCAAGTGAACATTGTGGCAGAAAGTACTAAGATCTTCTTCAGAGACATCTCCAGACGACAAATACTGTCGCATTTCAGCTAGATCAGCTTTGGCTTGATCGCGGTAGGCGTTCTGCAAGGTCACATATCCCTCCGTAGAGGCAGTCATATCAGGAATAGCCCCATGGAGAGGCGGTTGGTTGTCGTGCTCTTTCAAGAACTTGTCCAATGCATGCAAGAGGTCCCCAAAAGTTTTGAGCGATGGTTGAGTGGCCACCAAGCCATCGACCGAATCACGAAGCGAGGCCAAATGGTCCAAATCGAGGCTCCGTTCGGTGTAAGCAGTGTACGCATTCTTCATGGCCTCTTCAAAATTGACCTCCTTGCCAATGTCTCTGCTTGCCGCTTTGATGGCATCGCGAAATTCTTGCTTTTCAGCATGAGTTTTGGGCAATGCTCCGCCGTGCGACGACTTCCATTCCTTGGCTACCTTGGCCAAAATAAGCGGGTACGGCACATGGCTATGTTCATGACTTTTCAACTCATCCCACAGGATTCCGTCCGCTAGATTTTGAAGGCCCGGAAAGGGTCGTACGAGGCGAAGATCTGGGGTTGTGTTGGCGGGTTTAGGATCCATCAAGGGCAAAGGTGGGGTTTGGAGGCGGCAAATGCCCAACATTCCGTACGCCTGAACTGAAATCACAGGTACGCCCTTGGCAGCACAAGCTTGCCCCACCATCTGCAATATGCCAGGTTCCAGGTCAGATGCAATCACCAGAATTTTTGGAGTTTTCACAGTTTGCCAAAGATTTGTCCACCACTCAGGCTTGGCACAAGCCGTGGACAAGCCTTCGGCAACATGCAGGAAGGACCCCTGGACGTCTGGATTCAATTCTTGCAAAAGTTCCCACGACAACTGAGCCCGGTTTTTGTCTTGGTTGACCAGGAAAAAGTTGGAGGAGTACTCTTTCTGAGCGGAAGCAGCATCATCGACAACCAAAACATGGCCGATGCCTGGAAGCACCAAATTCTTGGCTGACTCTGTCCCGACGGCCGTGGCTCGAAAAAGGACAAGGGTGGTCTCTCCAAGAGCCTTCTGGCCCTTGGCACCCCAGAGGCGGAGTTGACGATCGTACTTGTTGGTTGACATGGTGTCGTTGCTGTTGTGTTGTTCGTTCGGTGAACAAGCAAGGAACCTCGGTCGTGTTGTTATTGTTGTGTTGTGTATTGGCTGGAGCTGGAGCTGGAGGGTTTGGGTGAGTCTCCAGCCAAGTTCAAATACGGCGGTACAGAAATTTCAATACAAGATTAAAGACTTAGAGGCCTACCAGTGAGTACAGTATTCGGCACAGTGATTCAAATTTTGTCACCTAACTCTCGAACTGAACAAAGAATCAAGGAAGACTTATTCGCAGAGGTGCATCGTACCCAAGTTTCGTCAACGGGCTCACATTTTGACTATGTAGAGGTTCGTGGCATTGGATCGCAACACTACTTTTGGTGGGAGCCAACAGTTGAAGCTATCATTACAACTACAAAACTATGAGAATCAACACTAGTCAAGTCTTTTCAAAGTGGTTGCTAGATAAGAGCTTTTATCCCTACAATGAGTTAAGGGCTACCAGGTACAGCTTTGAGTGCAGGTATGTTTTGCTGGAAGCAGGAGAGGTCCAGCATCCCAGCTTCAGGTCCTTAAAATGTGTGGCAGTAAGTAGCTTTGACACTCCCAGCTTGGAACAACTCATCATGAGTGGAAGTGCCAAGCCCATGACTCCTGATGTGAGTTGCATCCTTGACAGCTTGGAATCTTGGGGATATTTCCATAATCTTGAGTTTTACACAGTTGTTCTTGACATGCTAGCAAGCCTCTTTGAAGAGGACCAGCCTACAAGCAAGGAGAAGATGTTCAAGCAGTGCATTTACTGGAGAGCTAGAGTGGTGGCTCATGAGACTTATGAGTATGACTCTCTTGGCCATGATGCAGTGATGACTTACTGGTCTGACTGGTTTGACAGGACCTATCCAATTGTGAAAGTCTCCTTCAGAGTAATGACACTGATGAGTGAGGATTTTGTTAGTGACATCATTACTTATGTTCAGACAAGAGGAATTGTTCCTTACCCTCCCAACATGGATGGACCTGACTCCATCACTAGCTCTGAAGATTGAGATAGGAGGAGAATGAAAGAATGTTCTTTGTTGGTGTTTGTTATCCAAGTAGTGAATCAGTAACAATAGTGAAAACTTACCTCTTTGTATTCAAACCAATCATCTTTTGGGCAACTCCTGTGCTTGGGTGTGTTGCAGCTAGGACCAAAACCATCACTGGCGCCATGACACTCTTTTCTCTCATGGCAGTGGCCACACCAGTCTCTCAAGCAATTCTTTCCTGGTTTCTCCTCCTTTGCATGATCTCTCTTCTTATGGGCGCAAGTAAGACAGTACATCCTACTCCTGAAGAGCTTTCTTCTCTTTCTTGGCTGCTCCTCAGGGGTTACATGTACTGCCACTTGATATGGCACAAGGCGGTGTTGCACATTGTTGACAGTGGCGACAGGCTGTTGACCATTTCGAACCCGCACACCGGCAAGAGCACCAACTGTCACCTCTGCATTCAAAACTGTTGGATTGGCAAATGGTGTTACACCTTCAGCATTGTAGACTGTGCGAGTTGTGTTGTGGGGTGCCGTTTGCCGTGGAAGGGAGGAGCGGCCCTCTTGAAATTGAGCATCCAAGAGTACTCGATGCTCATCATTGGTGCCGTTTGGAAGTGTTTCGGCAAGTTGTTCAGCTCCACGGACCAAGTCAAAATACTCTTGGAGTTGGATGCAGCTTTTTCGATTAATGAGAACAACGCTTTCTCCTTCACTCCACAGCTTAAATCGCCTTGCCGCTTCAATATTCCAGTCTCGCTCAAACTGCTTATACCCTTTCGGACCGGTAGGAGAGTTGCGATTGTAATGGCCTTTCCAGTTATCAAACAGGATGTGTTCTTCTCTCTGAGTGTCTGTTGTCTGGGAGCTACTGGTTGGGCTCTTAAATGGAATCCAGGTCTTGTCTTCTGCAAGTCGGGAGAAGCATTGAAGAGTGGTCTCTTTGCTTAAATCGTGTTGCACCGGTAGTAACAGTTTCAGATGGTAGAGAATGATGGATCGATTGTCTTTATCACGGGCATCAACTGTAGCCTCAGTATCATCGAGTCTCATGGCTTGTCGAATTGCGGGATCGTCCACTAATTCCATAGCTGCCAAGTATTCTTCCTCAGTTGCGAACACCTCGATATCTGCGTCTTCACCAGCTTCTTCCTCCACCAGTCTTGTTGCTTGCTCTAAGTCTTCCTCTGCTCCAGCATTGGATCCTCCAGCGACATTCTCATATCCAGCGAGAATTTCCTCATCATCATCGCCGGAATTAAGTTGTGCTTCCCTTCCTGTTTCGCTTGTTGGATTCGACACGTCATGGATGGTCTCTGGCATCTGATACTCAAATCCCATGAAATCATGTGTGTTCCCATCAGATACTTTTGGAGCAGCGACGTCTTTGTAGGGCAACTTTCCATCAGCGAATCCCACTTCTCTGGCTAAACTCCTAATCAGTAAAAGTCGCTCTGTGTGGTAAGTTGCATAATCCTCTTCCCCAAGCCGTAAGATGGCCTTTCTTTGGTTCTTCTCCTCAAAGAAGTTACCCATCAAGCGTTCAGCTCGGTGTACTCCTACAAGTAAGAGAATAAGTAGAATTGTGTGAGTTGGACAAAAGGTAGTCGCCACTGGTTCATTCATTTCAAATAGACTTACCGATGTGGGTGGCTGTCAAGACTTTCTCCGCTAAGTCAAGGTTGTCTCTTTCGTTGGTGTTGGTTCCCCTGGCAACATACGTAATGTCTTTGGAAGCATTTCGGCGAAAGAATCTGATGTTAACCAATGATGGGTCAGGATCACTAAGACATCCTTTGTCGACATGGCCAAGTTGTCGCTGAATCAATTCCCTGTTGGCATTGCTGTTCGCTTTGAAGAATCTTTTTGGAAGTGGTCGAGTGTCGTTGGCAGCCCTGGTGGCAATGGTTGCTTCGATTTCGGCATCCTTTGCTTGCACATACCAGATAACTCGCTCAATGTTGGCCCTGAGCACATCTTTGGGAGGAATGACAGAATTCGCCTCCTTGAGAATTTCCTTGACTGTTGGCTGTCGCTTCAACTTGTCTTCCAGCTTTTCCTTTGCTCGCTCAAACTCCCCAGGTTCAACCATGAAAATGGCTCTGCTAAACAGAGCACGGATTACTCCTGCCTGTGCACTTGATGGATCTTCGAAGATTTCATTGAATCGCTTCAACCAGTGGAAAGGATCGAGTAGAACAACTGCACTTGGAAAACAGCGCCGGATAATGGCCCTGACATTGCAACAATTGTCCACATAAATCACCTTGACCGCTTGCTGCATTGGGCCCAGTTTGGGAATCGACAAGTCCTTCTTTACATCTCTTGGGACACTATTGGGTACCAGGTCAAGCTTCCTCTTCTCATAATCCAGATGATATGTGAGACGTGAAGAAGCTTTGGCTGATTCCATGTTCTTGTTCAACCGGTGCCGAAGACGCAAGAGATCGGGTTCTATCTCTGAGATTGATTCGGAATGCTTCAGCGCCTTCCAGAAAATGGTCATGGCATCTTCATTCTGAACTGTAACAATACACTTGAAGGGAGAAAAGCTGGTTCCGGCCTTGGTCCAAACTCGAATCTTCTTTGCCAATTTATAGTTGAAGTCCACCTTGATCAATTCTGCCTTCAGTCCCATCATTTTTGCCAACTGGAAAGACTGTCGCTGGTGGAAGACAGTGGAAACAATGCTGTCAATCCTTCCCTTGCTGATGAAGCGACCATTATACCCATACTTATCATCAAAATTGGAAAAGGGAGTCAATCCTTCAGGCTCTGATGTTTCGGTTGCTGGATCATCGCCATTCCCATGGTTGGTTCTGACCGGATTTTCTTGAAGGTAGTCTGTTAACTGCTTGGTTGCATCTTCTAGTTCCCTTTGCGCATCCTCTACAGCCAGCTTGGCAACGTCGTATGCCTCTTGTAATCTAGCAACGTACTGGTTTCCAATTCCCTGCCATTTTCGAATCAGCTTTGCCGGTGTGTTCAGGTGTCCCCAGTCTTCTGGTTTGTCGGTGTCCACAGCCAATAACTCTTCCAGTGTGTGCACTCCATCAGCAATCAGTCTGCGAAGCTTGGTACCACCAAGACCTTTCAGAACGTTGCCTGTCCCAAACTTGTTTCGGTCATCTTTTTTGCTGAGTAAATCTTCAAACTTAAGCTCCCGGTGAAGACAACCTTCCGCTGTAGATAGTGCCAGCCGCTGCCTGGTGACAAGAGACGATTTGTCCAACCTGCGGCGCCGTAGTCTAGCAAGCTCTGCATCTTCGGTGGTTTGTTGAGGCTCCAGCATGTCATCCAGTGTCCTCCGTTTCTTCTTGGGCCTTATCTTGTCCAATCCAACTGCCGTCAAGTAGAGCAAATGGTCATCGTAGTACGCTGCGTATGATTGCTTCTTCAATTTCTTGGCTATCATGGCGGTTGCTTGTGACACAGAATCTTCTACAATCTGCCGGTGTAAATCCTCGTCAGCTGCGAACTGGTGACCCAAATAGAAATTGAAATAAGAATTGTACAGCGTTGCATCCAACTGCATGGACTGTTTGTTGTAGCCAGCAAAGTGCCGCTAGCATCTACTGCAAGGGTAGAGCTTCGTGTCAATGTACCGGTGTCGCGAAACTCCAAATAAAATCTTGGGCGAATTGATCCACCTTGTTTTGCTGTTTGTCACTGCAACACAATCATTCTTCTTGCAGTGTGGACAGTGGGGTATATGGTTCTTGAAGAGGAGATGCGGAACCCATGCAGCAATTGGTCTAACATAGAAAGAGTCAACTGTTAACTTCTTGGCGGATGACTGATCAAGTAGTGTGCTGTTGTTGCGACCGGTGAGAGGCTCAATCGATCTCCAATTCTTGCCAGGGCCATTCTTGTCAAAGTAGCTGCGCCCATCCCTGTCTATCTCAGATCTAACCTTCTTTATAAATGCTTCTTGGGCCACCCCATATGGTTTGTTGGTTGGTCGGCACATCGCGAAAGTATGCCGTCATTGTCCATCATTGTGTGAGCGTGGAAGCAGTTTCAGTTCAAATGATTTTGCGGCTTAAACGCAATATTTCCAACTCTAAATGTAAACTTTTGGGGTCTTGCGAGCCAATTTTGAGGCCCTCAATTCAAGTAGCAGAGATAGTACCAGGTTAACCTCGTAATCTAGCTATTTTCTTCGAGAGAAGGTCGAGGATTAGAGGGCATGGTGTCCTTAGATTTATGGGGGTATTGGAGGGTGACGCGGTAGCGATTTAGGGGGTGCCTGTCTGTCCGTCGTCGGGATGTTCTTTTTCTTTCTCTTTTCTTTTCTCTTCTTTCGCGATACCGCGCTGCGCGCGGACCAGGGTTTGAGGGTTTGGATTCTCGACTTGAAAGATTGTTTGGTAAGAGCAAATGTGCGTCTTATTTATTCAGACCCAACTTTCTCAAGCTCTCTCTTTCGGGTCTCCTCCAATGTTGCCAATGATGATGTGTTTCGGGGCTCTGTCATTGTGGGCCTCACCCCCAATCTTCAGAAATCAAGCAGGAAATCGAGCAAGGATCAAAAAGAGAGTTGGTTGTACGCGCAAATCAGAGTGCATGTACGCATGTGATATCCACACCGTACCGTACCTAGAATACGGTAGCTATTGTGGCCGGAAGCCATGGAGGACTACATTTGGACAAAATTTGAGTTATTGGCCCATGATCCGTCGCTTTCGCCACCTGATGGACAACCTTCGTGTCAGCCAAGCCCTGTACGGTGCTGCAGATGTCATGAAAGGTGGCTTTCCCTTTTCCGTACCGGGGCCAGGTGATGCCGTATCCGGTGTCAAGTTCAGCTAGTTGGCTACCAGATACATGTATTGGATGGAGCAGGGCAAGGAGGGCATCGTCTGTTGCGGTATGTTGCGTTAGTACAGTCATTAATGTATAATACATTTAGTTTGAGCCTTGAAGGTCGATCCTTCATTTGCTTCGCTCAATAACTTGAAAGGATAAAAAGCAACACACCAACTGTTGTGCGCGACAATGGCACACTCACGAGTTCGAAGCACGAGGGCTGAAAGTATCTCTAACGTTAGCGGCAAAGCCTAGAATTTACCTCGCTTTACAGGGACAAATAGGATACGTATACGAAAAATATTAGTTTTGCTCGCATCAAATGCCAAGCACGCTCACAACCCACCCGAAGCATGTATATTCAGAAGAGTGAGTCGCAACAATCGAATATCCGTCTCATTCTACCAAAAGGGATCACACAGACAAGACGTCTTCTATCTTCTTTTTCAAATCTAGAGAATTGCGCATATTTAGCAGCATCCCTGGTTTTGCTTGACGGCCTGGCTCCTGAGGGAGACTGGACCCTTGCCACCTTGTGCTCCGCCTGCGGTGGGTTGAGTCTTCATTCGCGCCTTGATCTGGCTGGCCATGGTAAGGAAGGCTTGTTCGACATTGCTAGAGGTTTTGGCTGATGTTTCGAGAAATTCAATGCCGAGACTGTCCGCGAATTCCTTTCCTTGTTCGGTGGAAACCACGCGCTTTCCAGTCAAATCGGATTTGTTACCGACCAACAGCTTGTTGACGTTCTCCGCTGCGTATCTATCAATTTCATGAAGCCACTGCTTTACATTGTTGAAGGACTCATTGTCCGTCACGTCATAGACCACAATAATACCGTGTGCACCGCGGTAGTAAGATGAAGTGATCGTGCGGAAACGCTCTTGACCGGCGGTATCCCAGATCTGGAGTTTGATTGTTTTCCCATCCAAGTCAATGGTACGAATTTTCTACGTTCAGGACGGAGAGAGAGAAACAACAACAGGCCCCAAAAGGTCCCCTGTGAGTCCACGAATCAAAATCATGGGAATTCTCGCGTCAAAAGGAAAATGCTTACGAAGTCAACTCCAATTGTCGAAATGTAGGACTCGGTATAGGTGTCGTCTGCAAATCGAAGCAACAGGCACGACTTTCCAACACCTGAGTCTCCAATCAGGAGTAATTTGAAGAGGTAGTCACTGTGAAAATGGTGAAGAAAAGGATTGTGTTAGCCAAAATTTGGAATGAAGCTAACAGCACCAGCAAACAGTCATAGATGCCCAGAGGCTAAGACCGAAGTGCCTTCGGGAGCGCCACATTTGAGCCAATGCATCCGTAGCATCCGGGCCTCCACAACAGGGACATCATCATGGTGATGACAATGATGATGTGCTTGTCGAGTAGCTTTTGTACTGGCTTCAACACAGCTAAATTTTTCGTCAGAATTCCCTGCCGGAAACCGCGGCATTGCCTTTGATCCTCCGTAGTCACTTCGCTCTTCTCATCATACCGGCTGTTCAGAATAACATCATTGTCGTCTCTTCTTGCGCTCTCGTCCTTCACTTACTATTCTGGGTTCATCTTGATATGCTGTGCTGTTTATTCTTGTTCTATGCTGTCCTACTTCTTGTCGAGTCCAGTGCTGTTGCTGGCTGGTCTCTTGCTGTGAGGGAGGAAAGGCACCGAAGCCGCTGGGCAATGCGAGCACGCCTGTGCGCCAAGAAGGTGTCCGTTGTATCAAATGGAATCGTGAGTCAAATTGAATCTTGTTTCCTCGTCATTCTTGGGAAAACTGTGGATCGTTTTTAAGTCAGCGGGAGCTGCGATACCTCGGCAGAAAGACAAATAGAAGAAGGATGACATGTTTGAGATTGCACCCTTCTTTCAAGGTACCGGTAGCCCTGGCGACAACACCCGACTCCGTCGTGTGGCTGTTGCCGCCCGGTACCATTCCCTCATTATAACCTTCTTTTTTATAATTTTACAGCTGTCATTCCCTTATGGAACTGTAACTTTTGTAGCTTGTGCTGGCTTATTGTGTTGAGTGCACTAACTTTGAATAGTCATGATTTATTCCTACCCTTCAATTTGTAGAACCTTCAATTTTCAGTTCGGTTGGCTTATGACTATCTCTATCCCTATATTTTGGCTTCACCGGAATAGGAAATAGTAATTAAGTCAGCGGGAGCTACGATACCTCGGCAGAAAGACAGATAGAAGAAGGATGACATGTTTGAGATTGCACTCTTCTTTCAAGCTAGCCCTGGCGACCACCCGGTATCATTCCCTCATTGTAATCTTCTTTTTTATTTAGGCTAGCCCTGGTGACAACACACGACGAAGTCGGGTGTTGCCGCCCGCTAACCATAATTTTACAGTTGTCACTCCCGTATGTACCTGTAACTTTTGTAGCTTCTGCTGGCTTATTCTATTGAGTGCACTAACCTTGAATGATCATGATGTATTCCTACCCCTAAATTTGTAGAACCTTCAATTTCCAATTTTGTTGGCTTACAACTATCTCTATCCCTATATTTTGGCTTCACCGCAACAGGAAATAGGAAATAGGAAATAGGATATAGGATATAGGATATAGGATATGTCAGCGGGAGCTGCGATACCTCGGCAGAAAGACAGATAGAAGAAGGACAACATGTTTGAGATTGCACCCTGCTTTCAAGAAGGCAGCCCTGGCGACAACACCCGACTTCGTCGTGTGTTGCCGCCCAGTATCATTTCCTCATTGTAACATCCTTTTTTTATTTAAGCTAGCCCTGGCGACAACACCCGACTACGTCGTGTGTTGCCGCCCGCTACTCTATAATTTACCAGCTGCCATTCCCTTACTCTAACCTTTACAGCTCCTGCTGGCTTATTGTGCTGTTGTGGCTGATTGCACTAACCTTAAATATTAATGATTTATTCCTACCCCTAACTTGTATTGAACCATCAATGTTCAGTTTGTTGTCTTATGACTATCTCTATCTTATACTTTTGGCTTCACCGGAATAGGAAATAGCATTTTAAGTCAGCGGGAGCTGCGATACCTCGGCAGGAAGACAGATAGAAGAAGGAGGATCATGTTCAATTGCACCCATTTTCAAGCAGCCTGGCGACAACACCAGACTACGTCGTGTGTTGCCCTCGGTATCATTCATTCCCTAATTGCAACCTTCTTTATTAAAGCTAGCCGGCGACAACACCAACTTCGTCGTGTGTTGCCGCCCGCTACTTCTATAATTTACCAGCTGCCATTCCCTTATTGTAACTCTAACCTTTACAGCTCCTGCTGGCTATTGTGCTGTTGTGCTGATTGCACTAACCTTAAATATTAATGATTTAAATTTATTCCTACCCCTAACTTGTATTGAACCATCAATGTTCAGTTTTGTTGTCTTATGACTATCTCTATCCTTATACTTTGGCTTCACCGGAATAGGAAATAGGTAAGTCAGCGGGAGCTGCGATACCTCGGCAGAAAGACAGATAGAAGAAGGAGGATCATGTTCGAGATTGCACCCATCTTTCAAGCCAGCCCTGGCGACAACACCCGACTACGTCGTGTGTTGCCACCCGGTATCATTCATTCCCTCATTGCAACCTTCTTTATTAAGCTAGCCCTGGCGACAACACCCGACTACGTCGTGTGTTGCCGCCCGCTACTTTATAATTTACTAGCTGCCATTCCCTTATTGTAACTCTTACCTTTACAGCTCCTGCTGGCTTATTGTGATGTTGTGCTGATTGCACTAACCTTAAATATTAATGATTTATTCCTACCCCTAACTTGTATTGAACCATCAATGTTCAGTTTTGTTGTCTTATGACTATCTCTATCCTTATACTTTGGCTTCACCGGAATAGGAAATAGCATTTAAGGGGTTGAGAACTCAGGCAGTTTACCTGCCAAGGTAAATAGGAAATAGGAAATAGCATTAAAGGGGTTGAGAACTCAGGCAGTTTACCTGCCGAGGTAATAGGAAATAGGAAATACCAAAAAAGGGGTAGAGGGCTCAGGCAGATAGACTGCCGAGGTAAAGGGGGTGAGGGCTCAGGCAGATAGACTGCCGAGGTAAAGGGATTGAGAACTCAGGCAGTTAACCTGCCGAGGTTACGGCACTGTGGTGGGCTACTCTCCCCTCGATCCTGGCCAATGTCATTGGGACTGTGAAAGGATCACACTGTTGGCAAGCATCAGGATCAGTCTGACAGTCCTCCTCAGCAAGCCTAGCTATCTAGACTTTTCTACTTCGCTTAAGCCATAGCCGTACGATCCTGTAGCATACAGGACGAAACATGTCAGACCGAAGGATTCGAGGCACTCGACTATGTACATGTACGTGTTGCCTTTAGCTCAATTGATGCTCTCCTCTCTGCTTCAGGACAAAATTGATTCAGACCACAAGGATTGGAGGAAACTTGACTACTTTCCTTGTGGTTATATACAACCGACTCGAACCCATTGAAGGCAACCCCAGTGGATGCTGCGAAGCACAGCACTCACAGATAGTCAACGTCAGACCTCACGATTCCTCAACCCTGAGGAAGCAACCGTGATGCCTGGATCTGCCCTTTCATAATATGAGACACAGACATATTATTTATCTGGAAATGGACGATCTATGATTTTTGCTTTTGCTGCTCTTTGCCACACATTTGGGTGTCAAAAAATTATGATGATGCTTGTGACCATCTCCCTATGTCAGCTCAGAAGGAAATGGAACGGTGGTGCTGCCGATCAACCCAAAATGGGGAGCACATGGTGACGGTACTGTAACCCTGGTCTGGCCCGTGGCTTCTTGTATAATGTGATAATGTGCACTGTACTATGACCAGTTCCCCGCCTGCAATCACCATGGCTAAAGTTGTCCCACGACAACAATAAAATTGTGCAATGAGCCGTGTACCCACTCGATAAGGAGAGACTAAGAAATTAAGCAATCTCCTATCAATGTTTTACGAATAGTATGACTAAGAATCCAGATGACGGAAAATCAATCTAAGACCTTCGCCTCATTTGTTTGCCTACAACAAACCAACTATATGATCACCTCAGCTTGTAGTAACTTTCCACAGGGGGGGCACTATCCGCATCAGGATTCGTTCCATACTGGGGCACAACACCCTGGCCATGGTATCGGAGGGGGCGGTAGTAGTGGGAGGCACCAGCCGCTTCACGCTTCCATTGGTCGCACTGAGTCCGTTCTTTGGCTACCCGGGCGGCAACGGCTTGAGGCAAGAAATTGTCCTGGTACTGAGCCCCATCATCGCGTACTTGCCTCATGATGGGCTCTTTCACAATGTAGTTCCATCCTCTCTTTTTTGCAAAATACACAGCATCGAGAGCATTCTCAAAAACGAGAGGCGGTTCCGACTGATATGGGTCGGCACTGCTTGTCCAGCCCATGAGCGAATTCTCCCATTTCTCTCCAGCAAGTCCATCTTCCACAAAGGAAATTCTCCACTTTTTCTCATCGTTGAGTGGAGATTGCTTAACATTGGCCTTGTCTTGACGAATAAAAGCGAAGCGATCCGTTCCATCAGCCTTGAGTCTGGATACAGTATCAGCAGGATCGAGTGCCAAGAGCTCTTTTGGATCTTCTGGCAGAGGCGCTGCTGGAAGCTGATCACGGCTTTCCCACACAAGATGCTTTCCTTTACCAGTTAAATCATCACGGCGGCTCTGCACAATGGCAACAGCATCTTCTTCCTCATCTCCCTGTTCAACAACGTCTTTCGATGAGAAGGGATGCTTTTGCATCCAACCTCGAAACGCCACAGCTTGAGATGCTGGCAAATGGCGGGCAAGGGCAACCGTGCGGAGTGCAGGGCGCAGAGATAACATGGCTAAACGGAAGACAATCGACTGCTTTTCTAAACAGCAACAACTGCCGATGAGAGTGCCCACTCGGCTCTCGGAGGTCTCTGGTACTAGCTAGCTAGTAGCAACAGGAGTGTCTGTTGTTGTTTTGTTGACGCTGTCGGAGGGTGCCGCGGGTGCGTTTGTGTTCGTGAGAACCTGACCCCTATTTCGAACTCCCAGTTATCCCCAACCTTGTCCAACACAAAATCGTTTACTTGGAGGAGAACGGTCCCTCAAAGCGAGCGCAGCGAGGCTTGAGCCGTCATTTTTCCAAAGCCGCACAAGATAGCACTTCTTTCCATAACGTCATTTCTTGCATTGATTGTTGGGTGTGGGATGAGTGCTAGTACCGGTACCGGTAGCCATCGAAGCATCCTTGGAGATGCTTCGGGTATATCCAACACGAGAGCTTCGTCTCGTGCAAGGCGCAAGTCCTTTTGTGTTTCGGATCGTTCGTCGAATCAAGTAGACACACCCAGCAATAAGTCGGATCGTCGAGCTCTGTTGGCAGAATGGCGCAAGCAAACGAGAGGAACAAGCAGTGCTGGTAGCGACAATACTGCTAGAATTCCAACATCGGAAGACTATAACAACAAAAAGCGAAATAGGTTTCACGAGGCGCCACCGTTGCCTCCTAGTGCACCCTCAGCTTCGTCCAATGCCGTCGCAGCGACAGACGGGATATCCGCTCGGGAGAGACTCCAACTGCGAAAGCAGCAAAAGCGTCTTCATCAGTCAACCGACAGTCCGAATCAAACGCCTCCTATGCCAACGAAAAGTACTATTGATTTCTATGATGACGAAGAAGAGAATGCGAGTGTTGGTAGTCGTCGTCTCGTCGGTCGGTCTCCGCTTATTCGAAAGTCTTTGGGCGGAGCGCGCCGAAAATCGCTGTCGTTTTCGGCTCGTCGAGGAAGAGCTTCCCCTCTTGTTCCCCAGCCAGTTGGAGATTGTAAGTGTGATGCGTCCAGGTAAAGCCTTTCTGTTTGATCTTGAGCAAACTAACTCGGTCATTGTGATTGCTCCTTGATGATTTACCTCCTAGATTCTCAAGCAACCATCAGTAGTTCGACTCGATCCATACGAAAGACGCCTCCCATAGATCTCGACCAATCGATAGATGATGATGTTGAAACGATGGAGGAAAAGATCAGCTTGCGCTCTCGTATGAAGGAGATGCAGCAGCGAGTGGATCAGTTGGAAAAGGAAAAGATTGACCTCTCCATGTCCAAAGCCCCTTTGGAAAACCGATTCAGAGAGAAAGAAGAAGCATGGCAAAAGGAGCAGACTCGTCTCTATCAAGAAATTGATGCACTGGCGTTGGCATCCAAGGAAGCCGACGAAAGATACCGCGATTTGGAGGTCAAGTATGAAGCAAAGCACGAAGAATGCAAGCAACTTCGACACGCTGTTCGCAAAGCATCGAGCTCTGTGCACTCTTCGCAGGCAGCTGATAATAGTACCTGGTCCCGACAGTTGCAAAATGATCGAGATGTCGCGGAGCTACGAGAGAAGTTACGTCATGTCGAAGAAGAGATCGAATCGATCCGCTTGGCCAAAGCTTCCATCGAAAGTGAACTTCACGGTACCAAAATTGAGCTTGAAGCCCTGATGCGCAACTTTGAGGAATTGCAACGAGAGTATGAAGAGATCGCCACGTCCACCTCTGAGAACAAGGAGGCGGAGATCAAGCTTGAAATTCTCACAACAACACACATTGCAACCTCTGCCCAATTGAACGCTGTGCGCGAGGACCTGGCAGCCACAAAGGCGCGTTCGGATGCCGTACTGGAAGCCAAAGACGAAGAGCATCGAAAAGAAGTCGAAAAGCTCAAGTTTGACATGAGTGTGTTGAAGACACGAGCTGGGAAAGTAACTGACAACGACGACTCCATGTGTGAGGCCGAGGTCGAGGATGAGGCAGTCTTGCGAGCACGCATCGAAGAACGAGACAGGAAGATTGCTGAATTGGAAGCACAACTTCTCAAGGGAGAACAAGTTCGTCGCCAGATGCACAACCGTATCCAGGAGCTTCGAGGAAACATTCGAGTGTTCGTTCGCACTCGTCCCTTCCTTCCGGGCGACCAGCAGACCAGTGACTCGTCTATCGAGGTGTCGCCGGATGGAGAGTCGTTGTCCATTGCTGACAAACGAAATGGAAGCCCTCACGACTTTCGTTTCGACAAGGTGTTTCCTCCTTCTGCTGGACAAGATCAGGTATTCAGTGAAGTCTCTGACTTCGTGCAGAGTGCGCTCGACGGATACAACGTCTGTTTGTTTTCTTATGGCCAGACAGGATCAGGCAAGACACACACAATGCAGGGAAGTGGCAATGGTGCCATGCGAGGAATCATTCCAAGGGCTGTCGAACAGATTCTCGACCAGGCTAGAACATCCCGTGCTCAGAACTGGGAATTCAAGATGAGTGCTTCTTTTTTGGAAATCTACAACGAAGAGCTCAAGGATCTACTGTCGTCAATGAAACAAAAGGTATCAAACCAAAGCAACAACGCGAAGCTCGCTATCAAGCGAAGCAAGGAAGGCAGGAGCTTTGTCGACGGGTTGACAGAGGTTGCCATCGAGACGGAAGATTCCGATGCCGGCATGAGACAGCTGGAGGCATTGATGGCAGTCGCAGCGCGAGCTAGATCCGTGGCTAGCACCAAAATGAATGCACAGAGTTCGAGAAGTCATTCAGTCTTTATGCTCCATCTTCGAGGATACAACAAGGATAACGGAGCAATTATGGAGGGAACTCTCAATCTGTGTGATTTGGCGGGAAGCGAGCGCCTCGATCGCAGTGGGGCTGCAACAGATGCAAAGCGATTGCGAGAGACGCAGGCGATTAACAAGAGCTTGAGCTGCCTCGGGGACGTGTTCACAGCTTTGTCCCAGCGCTCGTCGCATATTCCGTACCGAAACTCAAAGCTCACCTATCTCCTGCAGGATTGCTTGAGTGGGGACGGGAAGGCCATGATGTTTGTTAACCTGAGTCCCACTCGGCTGTCATCGGGGGAGAGCCTGTGCTCTCTTCGCTTTGCTACTCGAGTGAACTCTGTCGAATTGGGAAAAGCCAAAAAGCATATTCAGTACAACAGTCGAAAGTAAACGGTGTCATCGGATGATGTGGATGATGAATTCCAGGTGAACAGATCCCTTGACAAATAGAAATGGACTAACCATATACATGTAGCGAACGAATGGCCAAATTCATTGCATCTTTTGTGGTTTTGGGCACACACTAGCTAGATTGTAATCCTGTACCGTTGCGTAAGTTGAAATTGGTGCAAACAACCCCAGAAGGCCAAAGACGGATCCGCTCCCACAGTGTTTTGCTTTGCAGCCTCTCGTTTCGCCTTTCGCTTCGCGGTCCAATGCAGACAGAGGACGTCGGCAGGGTTTGCTTCGTGTCAAACGCTGATTCTCTGAGTCGAATCTTTGGTTGAACTTTCTCTCGTCGTCTTCAATACTGAGACTATGAGACAAACAGAGGAGACTGGACGCTCTGATGCTCGTCTATGGATTCATTCGATCATCATCGTCGTCTCTTCCTACCGGTACCATACCGGTACCACCCCCACAAAGCTGGCGAAGTCGGCCTCGTCCTGCCTCTTTGATCACTGCTGGCATCATAACCTTCCAGTCAAAGCGCCCGTGATAAATGTCGTCTTGGATCCCTTGACAAAAGAAATGAAACAAACGATCGACCTAAACAACAGACATTGCCAAAGCCTGTGTCATGATTGTCAGATCACGCTACCAAAAAAGCTGAGCCAGTACCGTACCCAGCAGGTGAGACCTAGCTAGAAGATAGAAGAAAAGGGCTGGATGGTATAAAGCCTACAATACAGAGTCCTTTGACAAGAGGATATACTGTACCAGTACATAGATTGCTTCATTAAAAGGTGTCACCAAAGCACAACCATCCACCCCGCGAAACAAGAAAGCTCTCCTTTGATACCGTTGAACGGGACTCTTGTGTGCCTTCTGATATGCTGTTTTCATCGGTGTTGCCAAGCTCATCTTCGTAGCCCATCATGTCGCAGATTTTACTGTAGAAGAACTGAGAGGAACTGTTGGACTTGAGAGTATCATCCCTGGAGAGCGCCGGCTTCAGCTGACGCAATGTCTCATAGACAATCTCCGAACCTGAACTGGACCGGCTAGCAGCAGAAGTGTTCTCGTCCTCGGTGTCGTCAACACGGTGTCGCCTTGAAACAAAGACCTTTACAGGTATCTGATCTTCGTATGAAGATTCGTCAGAAACTGGGCCATCTTCTCCAGAGGACGTTTCGTATTCTTCCGATACCTCTGACGATTCCTCGTCTTCGTCGTCGTTATGGTCGAAAGAATAGTCTTTAATCGTCCCTTTTTCGATTACCTTGCTCTTGAGAATACCTTTTGGGGTGATCGTCATGTCTGCTTTGCTTTTCTCGATTGTTTCCTTTAGTGCCTTGTTAATCAGTTTGCTTGTCAGTATGGCTTCTTCAGTCGTAGCGGATAAGGCAGAGGACAGAGCAGAGGAGTCGCCTTTGTCAGACTTTTCTTCAGTGAACTTGTGCTCTCCAATATGATAACGATCAAAATCGGCTAATGCCTGGTTTCGTTGATTATCAATGGACCGCTTGACTTCATCCAGCCACATCTGTAACTTCTTGGAGCCGGTTCCAGATTGCGATCTTGCTCCCGTGAGAAATCCGTCGTCACGGAACGGTCTATCTACGCTTAGTTCTCGCCGGAGCTCGGACCTACTTTTGACCGATGCCTCAGACTCTGATTCCTCGACGTCGGCTGGAGGCGGTGGTTTCTTCAATGGCATAACTGTCTCTATCAAACTCGGTGGGCTGGCATGCCCAGTCTCTGCTATGGTGGGTTCTGTTGACGAATGCCGGTCTATTTTGATCTGCCTTTCGTCTTCTTCGTAGGCAAAAAGCGCAGTATCGATGCTTGGTGGGCTAGCCACTCCTAGATAGCTGAGTTCGCGTGATAAGTTCAGGTTCAAGCTTTCCGCGGGAGGAAGAAGGGAGGCCGGAATGCTGAAGGTGGACCCTGAAACAAAAGTTGAAGTCTCTTTCCGCGACGATGATGGAGGGGCTGGGGATGAGGCCGAGTTGTGAGTGACAAACGACGAAGTCGCGGATATTCCTGGAGTCTTTTCAGAAGGAGATTTTTCAGATGCTTCGTCAGGGAGAACTGGGATCTTCAGTGGAGTTTCAATTACTTCTTCTTCTTCTACAATGGAGGGGCTAGTAATAAGGGGAGTTTCAACGACGTCGGTCGCGATGGTATTGCTGGTATTGCTGCTGTTGCTTCCAGCCATGCGTTGGCGCGGCCCTTCAATTGGTCTGATCCGTACCAGTGGAACTTCTTTCTTCACATCTTGCTCTTTCTTTTCTTTCTTCACAGCAGAGTTATGAGTCGGGTTGACAAGCAACCTATTCCTTTTGTTGGAGGTATCAGAGGTCTCTGCGTGATGGTTTTTGTTTGATTTCCTTCTCCCGTCTGTGGAGGGCTCATGAGGGTACGGAGGCGTATGCTGCTCTGTTTCGATGTTTGTGTATTGGGGCTTCCTCGCAGGGCTCCTAGCTTTGCTCTTTTTGCGGTCACTTGATCCAGTCTTTGATGATCGACGGGACTTTCCAGCTCGACTGTTTGAAGGAGCTCCATCCACTCTCGTCGCGGGAGCCTGGGGTGTGTCGCTGTCGCCTCTTCTGCTGCCACTCGCCTTCCGCCGTTTCTTCAGCCATTTCTTCAGCATGGCGGTACCTTTAAAAAATCTCGTCTTTGCCACTTTTCTCACAAACAAAGCGAGAATACTTTTTCGTCATATGCGCTGGAGATGAGTCTTGAGGCGAGCAACTTTGGCGTCACGAGAGGAACGAAATTTTAGGGAGGACGATTTTGGGAAGGGCTTACGCTGAATACGTTGAACTGGGTCATTCAATCGGCCACACTCCCAGGGGAGCAAGCGCAACAGCAATCCAGCCCGCGGAGAGATCTATTGCAATAAATACCTTTTCTGGTACGATACACTAATAGTAGCTAGCTAGTAGCCAGCACGCAGCAGGGGCAAGCCAGATGCTAGCTAGTACCACTACTAGCCATCGAGGGGTGGCAACTCCAAACCGCAAACTGTCACTTCGACCAAAAGAATAGTCGGCGGCACCAAAGATTATCACCGCCCTGGCGTCACTAACAATTCCTTTGTACATCTTCATGGCAGTGCTTATGCAGTGCTTTTAAAATGCTGTACTTTGGACTGGCGCCTATCGACCAGTCTTATCCTTCCCAAGCTACGATACTTTTACGGTACGGGTATGGGTGGATGGAGTCTCAAAAGCATACCTGGTACAGTACTGGCACACGATCCGCCTTCAAAACTATTAGGAGTATCAGGAGGTGCTTGTCAGCGGCAGACAACCAGGTAGAAGAAAGAGCAGAAGAACGAATGTAGGATCTAGCTACAGCTAGCTAGAGACAGATGCATGATGCACGAAGCTGAGATCTGCACGCAATAATTAAATGACGCAAGCTGGCTCTTTCCAAACTCGCCACGACGTGTCAATGGTGAAAGGATGAAGGGCTGGTACGGTACTCCTTCGGGCAATGGCTGATCATGGCTACTACCGGTGAAAGCAAGTTTGCAGGTTGACATATAAATTGCACATCCCCGGAAGGGCAAGCTGGATGAAGACACCTGGGCAACAGGTCAGTACTAGTATACCGGTTGGACCGATACAAGGCGGCAGACTATGACGACCAAGATACTAGCTGCCGTGGAAGGGGATCGTCTTACTCCATGACGGTTGTGCGTCTGTTCGTTGCCTCCATCCCGGAAGATGCGCAATGAATCCTAATTACAATTCGATATTTTAAAAAAGCAGCATGCGGTCCCACTCCAATCGCCCAATAGTACAGTAACCATGCCAGAAAGCATTGTTGTAGTCTATCGATCATAGTCTACATGTAGCGAGGCAACTCAGATTTTGAATGATCAACAATCCAAACCTCGGCTTTGACATTCTACAGTACCGTACATAAGCTTACCGTCTGATACTGCAGCTAACCTCCGCAGGTAAACTGCCTGAGTTCTCAACCCCTTTACCTCGGCAGGTAAACTGCCTGAGTTCTCAACCCCTTTACCTCGGCAGGTAAACTGCCTGAGTTCTCAACCCCTTTAATGCTATTTCCTATTTCCTATTTCCTATTTCCTATTTCCTATTTCCTATTTTCTATTTCCTATTTCCTATTTCCTATTTCCTATTCCGGTGAAGCCAAAGTATAAGGATAGAGATAGT